ATATCGCCAATGCTCTTTGAGGTTTAAGATTCATAGGCTCAGTTTGTTAACGAGTTTGTTTACTGGAGAATTGTGGATAATGATTTTGTCATGTTTTCTGCCTCTTGTTACAGCTGAGAATAGGAAACTTATTAATTGTTTACTATTTGTTGTCTAGTGTATGTACCTATTTGAGTACATAAAGACCTCAGTATTTAAAGCACAGAATTACACATAAACAAATTCGTAATGTTAATTAAAACCAGATATTATAACGTTAGTTGTTGGCTCTACAATAATTGATATTTTCGAACGTGGGCGTTTTGTTAGGCAACTTCACGGCCGCTCTACACACTTGCGTTATTGAGGCACCCCACCTCACCCCATCCTTGGCAAGCAGAGGCGTCAGGCGGACCACGATCGTTGCTGGGCTCACGTCACAAACCTCATGTGAATTTGTTTTTATTGAGGAAAGAAGAAACTATCATATTATTACCACTTTATTCGGTCTATTCTCGTGTTTTTAATATTCTCACCCAAGAGGACCTTCGCTTACTATTACATTTCGTCTAGATTTTTACTTAATTTTTTGATCATCTGCGTTAACATCAAAACACTTGGGTATTATGATCAACTTTGGACTTTGATAACGTAGACAGTTTGATCAGTCCACTAGTAGGGGCTGTTTTAGACCCCAAGTCCCAAGAGGCACCACATACCGCCTCAGGCACTTGACATGAGGCGCCTGGAAAACTCTCGTCACATCTGGTACAGCACCACTGGCTGAACTAATATGGAGGATAACCTAAGATATTTGGGACCTCACGAGGATTAGACACTCCCAGCTTATTCCACCTAGTCATTAAACACCCTAACGTTAAATGGGAGAGTTAAGTTACCCTGTAGATTAGGTTAGGTTAGTATTAGGAGCGTTTAAATATCCGGTGAAATAAACTGGGGTGTGTAATCTTCATGGTATTTTATGGGGATTAGTCTAGCCCGGGCACACGTCACTCACCCACATTGGGGCAAAATAATGTATAAATTGCACCATAAATAAATTCAGAAAAAAACCCACCATGATTGAGCAACATCTGAGACCCTGAAATTGTATGTAAATGAAACAAAGACGGTCAGAGTCAGTCACAACAACAACATAGAACTTGATCTATTTTCGTGGTGACGCATAAAGCAGCAGGGTCTACCATTACACAACACATTATGCTTCCAATGTCTTCCCAGGCGGTAGTACCTCCCTGTTTGATAGCTGTCCAACCTAACCTAACCTAACCCATCATCGTGACTTCTGGCCCCTTTGATTATGCTATGGCGTGACGTGAGACATGTGTTATGTGGCGTGGGGGGAGGGAGGGAGGGAGGGAGGGAACTTGCTTACTTAATCTAGCAGTAAACTTATTCATTATTTATCATCGTGTAAAGTGTAGTAAGATAAGCGACTGAATCAATCCCTAACTTTCACGTACATTACTTCTTCTTCTTCTTCTTCTTCTTCTTCTTCTTCTTCTTCTTCTTCTTCCTCCTCACTTTCTTCTTTTTCTTCTTGTTCCATCTCAATTTTGTTCTATCAATCCCTCTATCTCGTCTTCAAGAATGGTAAGGGCAAAGTTTATACCACCAGGAGTTTTTGAGGGGGTAGGAGGGGGTGTAACTACGATAACAGGTCTTGTGGGGGGTGGTAGAGGGGAGGGAAAGTAGGGCATCTTGACCAATCTTGTTTGTTCTTCAGGTAAACACAAATTAGATTCATTACTACTGAGATGAATTTACAGTAAGGTGAATATATGTCTCAGGAGATTAACACCACATCTAAAAGAGTACATATTTAACCTCCATTGAGTACGATATTAACCTCTCGAGTAATGTTTATCCCTCGAGTGACTTCAGTGGTTGAGTACAATGTCTAAATACTTTAGATAAGATGATCAATTACTTCCCTCGAGTACGATGATATTGTACTCAGGGATTTTAAGTCATCGTACTCAGGGATTAAGTAACGTTTTGTTTGTTATGGAAGAAGCATTCGACCAAATTATCATTCAGTCTTACGAAATCGAGCTGTTTGACTACACACTACATATTTTACTCTGTTATCTTATATGGTACTTAATCTAGAGCCTTATGAAATCGGCTCTCCAAGGTCAATTCGTCTGGAAGCCTTACTACGAGACCTTGGTCTTACCCACGAGACTTTGGCCTTACCGACGCGATACATTTCCACGTGTCCGTTCCCAAAGAGCTTCAATTAAGATCATTAGAAAAGGTATTCGAGGGTGGAACTCCCGATTATTTCACCTGATGATTAAACACCCTAATGCTTGTGGGTTAGGTTAGATTAGGTTAGTTTATGTTATGTTAGTGTTTTATCACCATGTGTAATATTTGGGGGTTCCTAATCTTCATGTGATGCTATATCTGTTTGTTTGTTTTTATCTCAAGACCGAGGACAAACACAGCATCACAAATAATTTTTCTCCTTCGGGTGAACTCTTGAGACAGATTCTCCCTGAAAAAGGTGGTCTTTGATAAGTGTGGACCAATGAACGCTAGTTTTTTCCCCACGTTCATATTAGACAACGGCTTGACCAATGAACGTTCATATCTGACAACTGCTCGACCAGTGAGCTTGACCTCTTCAAAACGCCGACAAACCCTTTACTCCTGCCGTCACCTGATCACCCCACCCTCCTCCCTTGTTATCTCCCGTGTTATCTCGTGTTTTGAGCAGATAACAACCCGCTTTTGTGTATGCAGTAGATAGCTGTAAGTTGCCGGTACAAGTATTACCAAACACACCTTTAACCTCTATTTTTTCTTTTCTGTTGCTACGGTGCGTCGTGGAACAAATATACTCACAGCGAATAACAAAACCTTAATAACTTAAAAACGATAATCCAGCAAATCCCCCATTTGTTTTCAAATAATTTCAAAATTAGTTTATGGTTTGAAAATGAACTAGTGAACCTTGGTACAGCAATATAGTTGACGTACTCAGAACAACAAAGACAAACTCCAATCTTTCGTACAAATATTTAGGACAATTCTGTTCAAATAAACTGTTAATGAGAACGAGTAGAGGCACAATATCCTGGCAGTGCCGGATTTAGACCTGTGGAGGCCCATGGGCAGCCTCTTTGTGCAGGCCCCCCTCATTATAACTACCCAAGAGGGTGGGGTGGCGAGTGAAGGGAGCCTAAACATCTAGGAGTTCCGGGGGGCGCTGTAAACCCCCCGGGAAAATTTTGAAATTTGGACACTTTTTTGGAGAATTTTGAAGCCATATGCAGTTATATTGAGGAAATTAGAACATATGTGGAGGCCCCTGGGCAGCTGCCCACTTTGCCCACTCCTGAATCCGGCCCTGAATCCTGGTGAGGTGGTGGGAAGGAGACGAGAGAGAGAGAAGGCACGCACGTACACCCAATAAATTTGAATACATTGGTGGCAAGTGTGTAATGTGTATGTGTTAGCCCTGAATTTTACGTAGTCATATCTTGCTTAGTATATGATGTTGCCGTTGTTTTAAGCTTTTAACTACCAATTAATAACTACACATTATTCACTTCCCTTAATTCCTTCCCATAACGTACGAAATATTACCTTACAAAAAACAAAACACGTGGCAGGGTTTGTGATCTTGCAATAGTCTTATCTGATAAACACGTTTAGAAAGTTCTCTTAAACATGTAATAACCGACCGACCTTTTGACTACCCCATCAGTTTGCAGGGTTCTAACACATGGTTTCTTTACGGCACCAGTTGCAGTGAATAAAAATGGAAATTTATATAAGTTATCGAGAGAGAAGGTTAATATATCAAAGGTGTGAATTTGAGAATAAGAGGAGACGTTCGAGATGGTCTCTTATAACATTATGGCGTTTTGGTTTGCTTTAAGTTTTGGAAGTTGTTTATTGTTAAGACAATTATAGAAGAGCCTACAAGTGGTATCCTCTTCACACGTAAATTTACTTCATTCCACCAGGAAATGCGCTTGTTGTAGATAATGCTATGTCGTGTTGTTAAGCCTTACTTTAAATGTGTTGGCGCTGTTATCAGAGTGATGCAGCAGCTGGGGCCCTGGGGGGCTTGACGTGGAAAGAGTCGGTTATATCCAGTTTGCTTTGCTTGAGCTGTAAGTTCTGGCACGGTCTGCATATTTTCGTTCACTTTTTTTTTTAAGATTTTACCGGGGACATTGTTAAGAAGATCTATGTGTTCATAGTTTATTTTAATAAGAAAATATGTACTTTTATGTGCAATTGTAATTTACTCTTGACAAAAATGAGGTGTTGCCCCAGAGGGCTTCAGTGGTATGGTATTCTAGTCTCAGGGTAGGGAGGCCCAACCAGTGGCCCGCGGGCCTGAATGCCCCCCCCCCCCCTTCCATAAATCGTCGCTAAAATGCGTGCCACCGTTGCATAAGAGATACCATTTTTGTTTATATGTTTAACTTTTAACAATTATTTATTGTAATATCTTGTTTTGTTGGATCTAATGCCTAATTGAATACAGTACAGTATATAGTGTTATAAAGTATTCAATATTTGCTCCACCTCCCACCATTCAGACAGTTGTGTGGCCCTGTGTGCTGCATCAAGTTTGGAACTCTCGCAAAAAGGTTGAGTACCACTGTTAGGTCAAGAGGCCACAGCTAAGCTTCGTCACCGTATCCGACCTCCAAGACACTGTAACACACACTACAATATATGTAAATTATCTTACTTATTCTCTTCACCACTGCCGGCCCTCTAACCAGTCAGTCATATCTATTACACATTATAGAGGCTGCAGAAATTGGCGAGGTTCGTGTGTGTTTGCGCGCATTAAGACTTTGCTAACATGATAAATCGACAAATAACAATGGATTTTAACCAGACTTCACTTGATGGTCACTGACTTTCAGAACACACTGCAACAATAATATTATATTTGTTGGTGTATCAAGTCTGAAATATACACTTTGTTTATCAGAAATATATTCATTTATTTATTTTCTCTCCAGGTACACAAGAAACTTGATTAATGAGGGCAACGGAAAGTTTAACTTGATGTTACTGTGCTGGGGTCCTTCCCATACCTCCACCATCCACGACCACGCTGATGCTCACTGCTTCATGAAGGTAATGATAAAATGATTTCTTAATCCACTATGTTTATCCTCAGCCTGACACAACCTATTGGGGACTGTATACCCACACTGTCCAGGTACATATTTTGTGTATCTCCACTGTGTATATATATTGTAATACTTGCATTGTGTAAGTACAGTAAATTATGAATTATATACCACCATTGTCTATACAGTATACTGAATCAGTGTAAACTTATCTGACGATTTTACTAAATAAACTGAACTGAACTTTAAAGCTACAAAAATGTTTCAAAAATTATAATTATGTGAGAATTTAAACCTGATCTTATTGATTATCCACATCATACATAAATCTACCTATTAAGACTATCAGCTCTAAAATCCACCTATAATACCTCACTTAACCTCTAAACCTTCTTGCAGATGCTGTCCGGGTCACTACAAGAGGTGAGATTTGAATGGCCCAAGACAGAAGAGGGAGAAGAGGAACACGAGATGGTGGAGATGGATAGAAATGTCCTTAAGCTGAATGACGTGTGTTACATCAATGGTACGTTTACAACTTTCTGTCTTTTCTAAACTGAAAACTTTCTGTCTTATATAGACTAAAAACTTTCTGTCTTCTATAAACTAAAAACTTTGTCTTCTCTAAACTAAAAAATTTCTGTCTTCTGTAAACTAAAAACTTTCTGTCTTCTATAAACTAAAAACTTTGTCTTCTCTAAACTAAAAACTTTCTGTCTTCTCTAAACTAAAAACTTTCTGTCTTCTCTAAACTAAAAACTTTCTGTCTTCTATAAACTAAAAACTTTCTGTCTTCTATAAACTAAAAACTTTGTCTTCTATAAATTATGTGGACTTTAGTACAGTATTGCTTGATTGAACTTCAGTGAGGAAATATTTTAGAATCACTTTTGTTTCCGCTGGGTCATGTGTCTTTGTTTTAGGGCATCTAATTTACTTGCTTACTTATTTATTTATTTGCTTGAATATTTACTTGCTTACTATCTTTCCTACTTACTTGATTACTTACATACCTACCGTATTTACTAATCCTCTTTGGCTCAGTAACATAACCAGTATGTTCTTCCTCAGACTCCCTGGGCCTGCACCGTGTAGAGAACGCATCCCACAGCGAGGGCGCCGTCTCGCTCCACCTCTACTGCCCCCCCTTCAGCAGCTGTTCGGTGTTTGACGAGCGCTCTGGCAAGAAGATGAAGTGTCCAGTCACCTTCTGGAGCAAATTTGGAAAGAAAATGGAAGTGGTAAATATTGTAATTACCTGTGTAATTCAATTAATCAAGCTAGTGGTGCTAAAACTGTATTGCTGTATTGTACTGTATTCAAGGCCCTGTAATTAAACACGTGTAGGACGTTTGATCAGACATCCCCTAAAAGTCAAACCATTTAGGCTTGTAATAATTATTCATATTTATTTATCTAAGTTTCATTTTAGTATTTAATTAAAATTGCTTCATTGAGTGAGAATATGTGTATTTTAATAATTTATTTTGATTTTAGATGTACAGTAACTCACAGGCTTTATTTTTATTTCAGAAAAAGGCTAAATGTGACTGTTAAAATGGTAGAAGACGTCATCAACCCCTAAATTGCTGATTCTGTTCAGTTTTGAGGATATGTTGAAATTTTTTTGTCTTTATAGAAAAAAAAAACCTTGTTCCATTAATTCCTGTAATCCAAAAGTACAGGATTTACATGTTGTTAATCGATAGAGGTTTTGAGAGCTCTTGTATATATATATAATTTTAGTTTTTAATCAGCTAATGAGGAAATAATCTTTAGATAATAGTATGATTGAGGTTTTCACTTTCTTTAAAACGTATAGAATTTACCTGGATCAGCTACATGACAGGTAATAATTATTTCCCTTATTTTATCCTGTTATTAGGTTATACTCAAACTTATTAATAAACAAAAAAAGATCCAATTAATCCACTGTAACGATACCACACTGAAATACTGTAATCACCTAAAGGATCCTGTACTGTATATTCTGAAATTTAGCTCTATGGTGATGTACGTACTTTGTAATCCACTGTAGTGATGTTGCATTGTAAAACCTAGCTTATTATTATGCTGTAAATTTCAGCTTAACAATAATGGACTTTTAAATCCATCTTAATTATACTACACTGAAATTCAGCTTGATTCTGTAACCATAGATCCAGCTTGATAATACTGTACCAATAGATCCAGCTTGATAATACTGTACCAATAAATCCAGCTTGATGATACTATACCAATAGATCCAGCTTGATGATACTATACCAATAGATCCAGCTTGATGATACTCTGCCAATAGACAAAGCTTGCAAGTACTGAGAAAGGGTAAGGTTTCATCGGCACATGTTCATCCTTAAATGGTGAAAGAGTTAATGACTTACAATGTGACTCCCAACCTCCTTTGAGACATGGGTTCTGTTCCATGGCCAGGCAGGGTTAATGGGGCTGCTATTATGCTGGGGTATGTGCCTGAAGTGATGTAGTATGTCCTCTCTACCCCTGGTCAGCGCACGAGCTCGATTTTTTTTATCTAATACATTAACTATTGTTGTTGAATTATTTGTAGATTTTAAATAGTCTTAATTTGTTACACTTAAATACATTCTGTTGATGTACTTGTAATGGTAAAATTTAACTAAGAATTTTGATTATGGATTTTCATTTCAGTTAACAGCAGCATAAGTCTGTACTTTCATTGTTATTAAAATTCCTACTTTATGAAGACATTTTTTGGAGGTGTTAACTTGTATTGTGAGCCGTCGATGACTTGTATTGTGAGCCATCGATGGTGCTCACTATTTTTTAACCTTCATACATTTACCTAAGGTTAATGTAGCTTAGTATGAGGAAGATTTATTACTAGTGCATTATATTATACATTTATAATTTTAAGGAATAATAAATTTTTTTATTAAAAGATTATATTGTATACTCGTACGATACACTAAAGTAGTTCGTGAATTTTTATCATTGCAGAATAATAATATAACTTTGCTACTTTTATATTGAAATTAAAATACTAAAATTATTTAAAATTAATGCTCAATATATCATTACCACCTGTACATTTCTATCAATTAAGAATAATTATGTACGGTATACCTTAAGAACCATTAATTAGTGGTAGAATTAATTATCCCCAAAAAAAACAAGATTGGAGTTTTTCATCCTTATTCCTTTCTCTATTAGTGTAGATTTTGTAACTAGTAAAACCCAATGGCATATGAGATAGTATCCTCCGTGTAGATGTGTTTTTATGTAGTACTGTAGAATTCCCATCATTCCTGCAGGAGGGTTCTTGGGTCTTGTGAGGAGAGGCAAGTGGTCAAGGATATGTAGTGTCTTCAGGGTCACCTCTTTGCTTGGACGTTTGACTCATTGAGCGGTGATGAGCATATGGGAGTAAATCTTAGGTTTTATTTGCCATTAATCAAGCTAAAAAGGAACATTAGAACATCCTCTAAGAATATGAGGGTGTTACTGCTTGCATGTGTCTGTAAAGGTTGAATGGATATAGAATGTGTGAAGTTGTTTGAAGATCAGAACGTGCAATAATGTGTAAAGATTATCTTTTGTTATTAGCAAACCTTGATACTAGTGGTATGTTTCTGGCTCTTGGAAGTTTATGATGAAACCCTTTAAAAAAAAACACCTGGCAGTTGATGGGATGATTCTAAACTCAGAGGTCATCACTTAACACTGATCTTTTGCTCATAAGTACAATGTATGGTATACTGTAGTGTTCTCATCTCACTTATTTTTATTATTTGAGTTTTTGCTGTGTAAATGTATTTGTGTTTATATATTTGTCTTAAATAAGTTATAGCTTAAAAAATATAATAAAACCTTAATAATAATGATGACAAAAAATCATAAACTATAATTTGTAAGGATTGATGAGCAGAGTTTGTTTAATATTAATCATAAGTAAGTGCAGAGAGAAATGTTACAGGGTGGCAGGGGTGAGATTACCGGTACGGTACAGTACAGTACAGTACAGGACTGTATTCCATTGGATTTTGTAACCTCAGATTTTTCCTCTTGCCAATCAAATGTATAAAGTTTCATAGCATTATTGGCTATTGTGCATTATTAATATACAGTAACACCTCTTGAGCAGCCTTGGTTATGAGTTGATGAAGATAATTTATTTCCTGAAACAAACTTTAAAGTGAAAACTCTGTACCTGTACTTATAACTTATTGGTTGAGAATGATATTAGCATTAGCAGATATAAGTATGTTATTTATTCATTAGACATGATGAATGGTCTCTGTAAGTGTCTTTTGAATAATAGTTTGTAAATTATATTTTGCCACGTAGTAACATCAGCTTTATGTTGTTTTCCTCGGAGGTGGCGTATTGATGGACAAGAAAGGCTTAGTTACTATGAATATTTTAGAGTGGCTGAATGAGAGGCTTTGTACCCATCATGGTGAGTAACCCTGTCAACTCTACCTGTTTCTCAGAATGTAAACTCGGCCATTATACTGTACTATTGAGGTGATTTGAGAGGCCAAACTAACAGAAAGGAGAAGTGACCAGAAATTGCCAAACAATGAATGCTTTGATTTAAAAATTAACTGGAGCATAAAACAACTGGTTACTTTATATTGACAATATCTAACAACTTGTCTAATTACTGTAACTGTAATATAAACTTTGTAATGTATAAACTTATTAAATGCCTTTAATATTCAGTATGCAGATTTCTTTGACAAATTCTTGTGAATTTACCATTAGGCCTTTATATCTTGATGGTGGGAAGATAAGCACTTATTATATCTGTGTTATATAACTTCACTCCCACTTGTGTGTGTGTAGTAAGTCAAGGGAGAGAGAAACATGAAGAAAAGGTGTAGATGATGAAAGAGGCTTATAATGCAAGACAAGGATAGGAAATGGCTGACATAACACACAAGCTTCCTAATACCCTGAACTTTCACAAAGAGTGGAAAAGGGAATACTGTACTAAACTGTATTAACTATTAAATCATACAGTAAATACATAATGGATGCTGTAATATTAGATATCATTAATGTTTCCTTGTGATAATTTTGTGTCTTCAAACCACATAAAAAAAAAATATATATATATAGTAACTAAATATTCCTTACTGAATGCACTAATATATATTCTCAATGATAATCTTCCCCCAAAGGCTTTAAAGCTTCCTCCACCTCACTCGTTTGTGCTATACGTCAAAATGTTACTACTGTACTGCTTTGTGTGATAACCAATACCAACTCGTGTGATGAAGAGTTATGTATTCTCGTGTAAGGTGCCTCAGTACTGGCTAATATTAATGGTATATAAACTAGTTATGCCTTTCCCAGTGTATTAAAACCAAGAAGATATCCTTATAAGTTTGTGTGTGCCTTGTGTGGAAATATTAAACATTTCTATAAGGGAATACCTGAAAAATCTCCACCTTAGTTTATTTCACCTGAAGATTTAACACCCTAAATGCTGTTTGTGGGGATTAGGTTAGGTGAGTGTTAGGGTGAATAATCTTTAGGTGAAATAAGCTGGGCTGGAGATTCTTCAGGCAATCCTCAAGAAGTATTAATTTTTGTTAAATTTTTAGTTTTTGAAATTATTTTAATACTGTATCCTGTAATGCACCATCAGTAACATAAGACAATCTTTAATCCCATCCTATTTATAAATTGATCTTAATAAGAGATAAACTGAAGATTATCCCCCCTAGTTTATTTTACCTTAATAATAACCACCTTAGCACTAACCTAACCTAACCTAACCCCTTCCTAGGTAACATAAGGGAGTTTAGTCATCAAGTGAATTAAGCTGGGGTGTGGCTAATCTTCAGGTGATTCTTATTAATTTATGTGGATATTATAGTCAAACATTAGGTGTGAAATTGTTACCTAGACGTGGATTATGGAGATAGAAGGGCCATGTAAAAATTTGGGGAAGTTGGGGATAAAGGAGAAAGGGACGGTGTATTGTATATAACTTGGCTCCCCCCACAAAGCTTTGGGTACCATAATGGCCCAGTCCACCAAATTATGGATATGGAACCACGCCATTTTATAGTCTTGTATCCACTCAGCTTCATTATTACAATATGATGCCATTTTTTTTTATTCTCTTTGAAACAAGTAAGGAAACGCCATATATCAAGTTTCTGTATTAATATTAACTAATCTAATTTACTGATGTTTCTTTTTCAAATTATAACGGCAGATGTAGTCTTTGGTTTACAGGTAATATAAACCCCATCAATTTCCTATTTACAAATTGCTTGGTATTTGTGTATGTTAATTTATGTGCAGGATTTGTCGATAAATTGGTGCATGGGAAAGCTATTCTTATAATAAACTGTTAAAAAAAAAGATTGTAAATATCCTTAATTAAGTTGTGTTCACGTACTTATATAAGTCAGTCATCATAATTAGCCTGATAACACCAGAAAGGTTTAAATAAATTAATGTTTGTTTTATTTCTCAATGTTGACATAACGTCCCTTTAACTGTCTCATACACTTATAAATTATAAAACAGTACTTTAGCAAAAATATCTTGTAGCACACCTATATATATATATATAATTCTCTATCAATAAAACTAGTATATAAAGAAGTAAAAGTATAATACACTTACTAGTTATAATATAGATTTGTATAATGTAGAGACCGTCAGCTGTTTGGCGCCAAGTGTAGATACCGTGAGTGATAATTTATTCCTACTGTGTTCCCTGATGTCAAATTAAGCTGACTTTTGATCTATATGTACATAAGATACTGGTGTACAGGAGTGTTAACTGCTAGATGTTGTACGGGAGACTAGTGAGTGCATTACCAAGGATATCAGTGTCATGCTAATTTCATCCTGGAAGCTAAGAACTTTCCAGGAGAGATATAGCTTTAATGTCCATTACTGTGACGTTTTAGCATGGAGGAACTACCACAACCAGCTAATGTAAGTTAATTTAACAATTTTAACTAATATGATAGTAAAATTTTTCATAATCATTTAATCATAACTTTATTTTTACGTAGCTGTGAACATAGTAAATACACCAAGCTTCACCAATACTACTGTAGCTAACTTGAAATACACAAAGGACGCTTTATTTTATAGAACTTAATAACATACAAATGAATAAATAGAAAAAAAAAGCTAATATGGCATCCTAACAATGTCAATAAAAATGATTATGGATTTTGCTAAGATATTTCCACGCTTTTGCAACTCATTATAGCGTACTACTACCTAACGTTCCCACAAGCTAATAGGCGGTGCAATGTGTGGCGTGAAGGCTCCAGTCGCTGTCATTTTCCAGCATGTGGTTGTAATGAGTAACAAGGTCAAGTTATTAGTCCGGTAAGGCACAGGGGAAGACGTGGCAGGTTTCTTGTTGGGGTGTGTGAGGGTTGTGGTGCTCCCTTCGTTGGGCCTCCTGCAGAGCCTCCCTCACCCATGGTCCTCCCCTCCACTCCGGGAACAGCCTGTGATGGTATTTGTACATAAATATGTGTATGTTTTACACTGATGAATTATATTACCTTCTTGTATTTAGTGAATAATGAAACAGAATGTGTCATTAAATTTCACCGAGAAAGAATATTTTGAACATCATAAAAGTGACTTGAAGACTTTATTTTATTTTTTTTGACAAAGTTTTAATGAAGGAAAGTAAACGTAAACAAAGAACATACTTACTGGAGGTACTGGTTGAGGAACTCGTGATAGAGCGACGTGTCCTCCAGCTCCCGCATGAGCCTGCAGAAGGACCGACGGAGGCAACCATAATCCCGGAGGGTGGGCGGCGGTGGTAACCAGGATTTGAGGTCCTGTAAATTATCTTCCTCCAGCTCGGTCAGTTCCGTTATAGGGAGCGCTCTGATGATGTCCTCAAAGGATATATTAACGCTGCCGCTAGAGGGGTAAGGAGACATTTCAAGCGTCTTGTGAGTGAGAGCTTCAGGTAGAGCGGCAGGGATGGTCAACAGACTGTCAGTAAATGTATATTGCGAGGCGTCTCTCCTGCGTCGACCAGCAGCCATGGGCAGAAGTGACATGGCACCCAGCAACATGGCCCCTTTGTAGAACATTGTTTTATAGTCTGAGACCTTTTCTTTCTCGAGCCTCTTGAATAAATTCTTCTTGAGTTGTTCTCTTTGTAGTCCCTGAAGTCTGATGCGCAACTGAAGATCATTCAGGTCTTTCAGCCGTTCTTGCTCTTGTCGAAGCTGTTGTTCATTGCGAATTAATTCCAGTTGCAGTTCATCTCGCTGTTCATCAAGTGCATCACGCTGTTGCTGGGCAGGACTTCTCTGTGTGGAACTAACGGGCTGCGCAAACCCAACTTGTTGTCTAAATGGCACTGGGCCGACTGCCACAACGGGAGCCCGCCGGAAGTACTTAGGAGGCTTGGATTTCTTCGACAGTGAGAACGGATTTCTGGGTGGCGGAGGAGGTCGAACTGGGAACACGTACACATTGGGGGGGCGAGTTGTGGTGGGAGGAGGAGCAGGAGGCTGAGGGTTGGCCGGGCGTGAGGTAGTGGCTGGGGGTAACCGAGGAGTGTACAATGATGGAGATCGAGGGAATCGTGTCTGGGTTTGAGGAGCACCGTATGCTTGAGAAGGGGTCGCGGGAGGAGGAGATGGGGGACTTGGGGGAGTGGCTGGTGGATTTGCTGGTCTTACGGGTGGGGCGCCATATTGATTCACTGATGGATTAGCTGGTGGAGGTGTTGTAGGAGGGGGTCCATATCTATACATTGGTTGATTAGCTGGTGGAGGTGTAGGAGGGGGTCCATATTGATTCATTGGTTGATTAGCTGGTGGAGGTGTTGTAGGAGGGGGTCCATATTGATTCATTGGTTGATTAGCGGGTGGAGGTGTTGTAGGAGGGGGTCCATATTGATTCATTGGTTGATTAGCTGGTGGAGGTGTTGTAGGAGGGGGTCCATATCTATACATTGGTTGATTAGCTGGAGGAGGTGTAGGAGGGGGTCCATATTGATTCATTGGTTGATTAGCTGGTGGAGGTGTAGGAGGGGGTCCATATTGATTCATTGGTTGATTAGCTGGTGGAGGTGTTGTAGGAGGGGGTCCATATCTATACATTGGTTGATTAGCTGGTGGAGGTGTTGTAGGAGGGGGTCCATATCTATACATTGGTTGATTAGCTGGAGGAGGTGTTGTAGATGGTGACCTGTACCTTTTACTAGGTGGACTGAAGGGTGGAGACCGAATCTGAGGTACGTCTTCGGTAGGATCTTGAGACAGGGAAGAATAAGAAGAGACTGATTGATCACTCTGTTCCCGTGGGGCGGTGATGGCATTAGACGGAGGACTTGGAGCGAGTGAAGGTTCCCTCAACCCTCGCGCTGAGTAACGTGATGATGGTTCTCTCTGGGTTGGACTCCTCTGAACATCCTTTCCGTCTCTCTCACTGGAATGGGAATGATCTGCTTGTGTTTGATCGTCGCAAGCATTCCCGGCTGTGCACCCTGACGACTCGTAATTATGGTCCTTACTGTCAGAACTCTCCTTGATCCCTGGGTGTGACTGCCCGTCATTCTCCCCGGCGAAGTGATAATGATAATGGTAATAGTAAGCGTTGCCCTTAGACTTGTCGCTGGCATTATCTGGACGTGAGTCGGTCGGGTTGTTCAGAGAATCACTCGCGGGATGTGTTGAGTCTCTGGGTGCTGTGATGGGCTGCCATTTGTTGGGGTTATCCCGGCTACCGGTGCCCTCGAGAGGCAGGAACCCGTCGGGAGGTCTGTAGTAAGAATTTAGGGGCTGTACTTCCTCAGCTCTGGGAGGCAGGTACTCCCTTGAGGGTCTGTGTGTCGTGGTGGTTGTAGTGGTTGTAGGGGGTGGGATCGCTGGGGGGTTTGCCTGGAGGCGTGGGGCAGCAGGCACAGCAATATACAATACTGGAGGAGGCTGGGGAGTAGTAGCAGGGGCGGTGTTTCTGTTGGGGAGGCCGTACGTAGTTTGTAAGTTTGCTGCGGTGTTCGCTATCTGTGGAAGGTTACTCGGTGACTGTGGGGCCCGGAGACGGAACAGTTCTGCTTGAGAGATGGTGAACGCGAGCCCCTGCTGAAGTACAGGATCCCGGGCTAACAAGGAGGCCCCATTATCATCTGGGGGAAGGTAATTATTGGTTGGAGATGTTATAGAAGGAACTGGTGAGGGGGGAACAGGTGGGGCAGGTAGTGGTGGAATACCCGGTGGGCTCGGTGGTGGTGGGATACCCGGTAGGCCAGGTGGTGGTGGAATACCCGGTGGGCTAGGTGGTGGGGCTGGTGGAGGGTTAGCTAGTGCTAGACTCTGGGTTGGTGGGTTGTATCTAATCGTGAGAGGTGGAGTTTGGGGAGGCCGAGGGTCTTTAACGGGAGGAAAGATATAAGAATTTGGGTGACGTGATTTGGAGCCTTTTACCATTGTCATGAGGGAGTGTACTGTGTCTCTCTGCTTCCTGTTAAGTTCTGATAGTGATCTTATTTGCTCATTATAAATAGATTTAGCCAACTTCAATTCAAATTCGTCGTCATCTTTATCATCTCCCAATTCCGGATTTTCAAACGCTGTGATAATCTCCAAGGCTAGTCTTAAGTCTTCCAGTCTACGTCTTCTTATGTCAGCTATGGTCTTTTCATCTAAGTCTTTATCAGTAGAGAAGGGTCCCTCTTTACTCTTACCGTCAGTTGTATCTAAAAGTTTTGACAGTTCAGAGAGATTATTTTCATTATACAGAGAAAAGAAATCGATATTTCCTTCTTCAGAAAGGCTCAGACGTTTAGTATTCTGACTTGTTAAGGTTTCAAGGGCGAGCTGTAAGTCTCCCTGTTCTTCGCGAAAGGAGGAGGTGGTGGTGGGAGAGGCGGTGGTGGAAGAGGCGGTGGTGGAAGAGGAGGTGGTGGAAGAGGAGGTGGTGGAAGAGGAGGTGGTGGAAGAGGTGGAGGATGAGGGGCGCTGTGTGGTAGTGTTGAGGGCGGTGGCCAGTTGTTCAGCATAGAGGATCAACAGTTGAAGAGCTTTTGAGGTGGTGTCTTGGTCTGGGTCCTCCTGGATGGGACAGTGAGCCAAGTATTAGGTAACATTGTTATTCATTATTACTACTACGACTGTGAGGTAGACAAGAAAAGGAAGCCAGACTTGCACTGCAACTTTCATCGTTTCAGGGTGACGGTTGAAATTAACTTTAGCCTCATAGAGACTTATCGACGCTCTATTACGCCAATAAACTAAAATATAAACAATATAGCTTTCAGGATACACGTAAATTGTGGCTGTTACTGATTTATTAATATCAAATGGAAATAATACACTAACCTCTGAACTGTGGTTCCTGGTGGAGGGCAGCCGGAACCTGTGAGCGTTGGTAGGAGGAGACAGCTGAGGGGGGTCGTCTAAGTCAGAGTAATCGTCGTAAACTGGGTCATAGGTAGGGCGTCTGTCGGTGAACTGTGTCTGAGACGATGGCAGGACGAATTCGGAGTAGTCGAAGAGGCTGGAGTGGCGGTCGGGTGCAACTCTGGATGTTGGACGAGGATTCGACCGCCTGCCACCAGAATATCTCGCATTATGGCCGTGTATACTGGCCCCCGCATTTGGCACGCCATCGAAAAGTGATTCACCTTGTGTAATGTCGCTAAGGCGAGTGGAGACGGTGGCTGACGCTACTCTGGGCCTGTTTTTTGGGATCACGCTGTAGATGCCAGAGCTGGGAATATTTCCAGAGGACGGGAATTCTTTCCTCGCTGTCTCATCTCGATATCCCTTCTCCTGAAGCTCCTTCATACTGAGGGACATCTTAGGGCCGCCGAAGAGAGACTTTCCTGAAGTTGCGTGTTCGGCAGATGCAGGGATTGGGGCTCCTCGTATAGGCTGGGACCTGGCGGGGATGGCAGGGCCAGCACCTAGGGTCAGGTCCACCTCTTCGAAGAGTGACTGTCCTCTCGCCAGGTATAGCAGGCTGCACAGGACGAGGCACCCTGCAACATGAGGACTAGGATTAGTTTTTAGTCGTGCAATGTTGTACAGAAATCTCTGGTAATATAAGGAGGAACCGAGACCCTCAAGAAACACCTCAGATACTTGGAGCATTATTATGGGAGAGGAACACCGCATTATAACACCTGTTCCAGTCATGATTGACAATTGATAACAGCGAATAGAGGATTGGTCAATTTATTCTTGATTCCATCCACCCTGAGTAGAAATACCGGTATATTTAATCGGTAACAGGAGCAGCAAGAAGTTAATTAGAGTGTCCCGGGAGTAAAATTGGTGTTGTGTGAGATATTCCGGGTGTAGTTTCTTGTGGTGGCGCGGCTAACCTGTCCTGCTTCCCTGACAATGGGTCCATCTCACCTCCTGACCTTCAGTAGCAAGAGTGTCACCACCGGGATCATATGTATGCCACAGGGCTCGTGTGTGTGTGTGTGTGTGTGTGTGTGTGTGCATCAGGAAACAATAGATGTATAAATAGACAGATAAGGAACGAGGGTAGAAAGGACTTTGTCTATACTTACGCCACATCGACACCTGTTATAGTAATGTTCCCATTCTCAGTAATATTCGTTGAAAACAAAAATAAAATCATCCCTCATCTTTCTCAACAAGGCCTAGTGACCGTTGCTTGACGACACCAACAGTTAAAACACCTTAAACAAACACAACAATAACAACAACAAACTTTAAAGTACACTTGTCCAACCTCTTCATTCCTTAGTGTGAGTTTTCTCGTGTTTTGGTGAGGAAGTTGTGATAAAATTCTCCACCGTATCATTACCTCAATAATAACATAATCCCCCGTATCAAATCTTTATACAACACAAAATATTTTCCCTAAAAAACAACAGTCCAGGATTCATGCGACGTTCATTCACCTTCCAGCTGTTGAGGATCCACCGTATAATATTAAAGGAAAATATAATTATCTTAGCCATCTCTACACAGGATCCACCCATCCCCGAAATAAAATGTGAATCTCTATATTTAAGCTTTTATCTGATACCGCTGGCGTGGCTAACGATAATACCACGTCGGAAAGATGATCTCGCCCGCCCTCCCCCACCCAGCCGTAAATCACCCCATCCCCTTCCCCCCCCACTCCTTCCCGGCAGGTGTAGTCTTAAACACACTACCGAAACCTCTTGCTTAAGTAATGAAACTCACCCTGTGTTTATAATACTTTATTTACTTCAGTTAAAGCTTTTATTCTTCTTTAAAAATGTAAATAAATATATGTGGTTTTGGGGTGAGGTGCGTTTCCTCAGACCACCTCAGTTTTTATATCTGACTAAAATTAATTATAGATTATTTTGATACCTGACTTCATTATTTCCTAGATAGAGGGTACACGGGATCCGGGGTGTTGGGTCCGGAATAGTGGGATCCGTAGTGCTGGCTTCAGTAGTGGGTTCTTGACCTCACCTGACCTCACCTGCATCCCTCACACCACCATATTCCTGTTTTTAAATATTCCTTCTTATCTCATGTGAATCTTCCTCTAATATTTCCCATCAGTTTTGTCATTTCAACGAACCAGCACCAATATATTAACTGGGTATAATTTCTGAGCTAGAGTCAAAAAGAGAATTAACACGACACACCGTCTACGCCGCTGCAAAAACATATTGGTTCGGTGTAAATATTTCTCACTTTATGGAAACACCTTCTGATGGTGGGTGTGATATGGTGGTGTTTAATTTATGTGTTTATATTATACCAAGATATGTGTAGGTGGTAAGACTCTATTATTTCTTTTCCTCCAATAGATAATAATTGTGTTATTTCTATTTTTGTCTTTGATTTTATTGATATGTTTTGGTAGTGAAGTATTTATGTGTATATGTCTTAATTTTTTACTGTTTATTATTTATTTAATTTTGAGGAAATATAGTGTGTATGTATATGTATACCCAGTGGACAGTGCACACACACACACACACACACACACACACACACACACACACACACACACACACACACACGAGCGAGCAGATTTAAAACGTATTTACTCGTATTTTTTGTTAAATCTACAAGAATAAAAGATGTGTGGTGTGACGTACTTCTCCTCACTAATACACCAATGTGAACACGTATAACGATATACTGAACACATACACCTATCAACCTATCTTCTAACCTTTATGTATTACCGGATATATCGTATTTTTATCCGGCCAGCAGGGTATAAACTGGACACTGGCCGGGCAACACACACAAGCGCTGCCGGCCACTCACTTCACCTCCATATAGATAAACCAAACTCATGATTTTCTCCACTGGCTCGACGCTGCCAAGTGACCAATGTAAAGGTTAGGTTTTGGCCCTTACACGGTTCACAGGTCGGTATAAATGGCGTAATTATGACTGTGAATTGAGATGGATGGTGTGTGGGGGTGGGGGGGGTGGTGGGTGGGAGGATAAAACATTAGTCATTTGTAAATATTGGCGGTTCTGGTCAACGTCAAGTGCTGGGGAAGGTCTTGTATTTACACCTTTTATGATGAGTGTGAGTTAGTGTAGCTATAAATGTTATCATAAATTAGATAAGGAAATTTAGCCAAGATACTGTGGATTGCATGTAAGATTAGGAACCCCAGTTTATTTTACCTTATGGTTTAACACCCTAATGCTTTATGGAAGGGTTAGGTTAGGTTAGGTCAGGATAGGTTAGGCATGGTATCATCATCATCATCATCATCATCATCATCATCATCATCATCATTATTATTATTATTATTTAGTTACTACATACATCAACCAGAGTTAGTTAGTTAATAAGCACCGAACACAAGTCATCGTAGCAACAACTTTCAATAAGAGACATACGATACTCCCCCAGCCATTCCTTCTCCTTTTTCTTATGAGATATAACATGAATCATTGTGGTGGGTGGTGGAGTGGCCTGTCCATCATCACTGGTGGTTGAGATTCTTTCCAGGCCGTGTGGAGAGAGAGAGAGAGAGAGAGAGAGAGAGAGAGAGAGAGAGAGAGAGAGAGAGAGAGAGAGAGCTAGAAAAGATATTCACAGATTAAATAATGATGGGGGAAAAGAGACAGACAAAGAGAGAAACAGAGAGAGAGAGAGAGACATAAAGTGAGAGAGAGAACAGAGAGAAGAGAGAGAGAGAGAGAGAGAGAGAGAGAGAGAGAGAGAGAGAGAGAGAGAGAGACAGATAAAGTGAGAGAGAGAGAAACAGAGAGATAAGAGAGAGAGTTAAAGACAGACAGAGAGAGAGAGAGAGATAAAAGAGAAAGACAGAGAGAGCACACATTGTTTTGGACAGATAGTTATCACAGAGTGTGGGTCAACCTCACCATTGTGGAGTGATTCATGCCCCAGGATCCTTCCCTCTTGTGGACATTCCTGCCGCGAGAGCTGTACGGTAGATAGATGCTGCGTCCACTAAGCTGGGATGTCCTCACACAACTTAGTTTTCCTCACCAACACGGTTGTTTTCCTCACCAACGGCTTAATTTTCGTCACCAGCAGCTTACTTTTCCTCACACAGCTTTGTTTTCCTCACACAGCTTAATTTTCCTCACCAACGGCCTACTTATCCTCACCAACAGCCTAGTCACCCCCACCACACAGCCAAGTTACCCTCACCAACGGCTTAGTTTTCCTCCCCATGCAGCTTACTCACCTCCACATAGCCTAGTTCTCCCAACACAGCCTATAGTCACCCTCACAAAGCCTGTTTACCTCTCACCGACAGCCGGATATAACTAGTACACTCCCCGACCAGGATATCTAAAGCCGGGTTCTTGACGCTGTCGGAGAAAGTCCCTCAAATCACTCATTGATATTCCCGTAAAGAAATAACCACTGGGGTTTGTGGGGTGGAGAGAGAGCATTCCTGTGTGGTGTTTGTGGTAGGTAGGTAGGCCTGAGAGACGCGAGGAGGGAAGGGGTGTAGTTAGGTAGGTATAGGTAGGCCTGAGAGACGCGAGGAGGGAAGGGGTGTAGTTAGGTAGGTATAGGTAGGCCTAAGACACATGAGGAGGAGGAGAAGGGAAGGGAAGTGAGGGTGAGTGAGGCAAATACTGGATAAATCTCTCCCATTATCTCAGGGTTTTATTGTGGTGAGATGTTCCGTTTGTGGTTGTTGTGGTGATGGTGGTTGTTGTGGTGATGGTGGTTGTGGTGGTGATGGTGGTTGTGGTGGTGGTTGTTGTTATAGTTGTGATCTCGTCTAGAGTTTTAAGAATTTTTTTACTGTACCTCAAGGCTTGTGTGTGTGTGTGTGTGTGTGTGTGTGTGTGTGTGTGTGTGTGTGTGTGTGTGTGTAGTAGTGAACTGGATGGTCGGAACGATCCCACCCTTCCCCACCGGCATCCCCTTCCCTCCCCTCTCACCCACCCCATCCCACCCATAAACTCAAGGGGTAGAAGTAATACCTCCTGACAACCTAAGAACTAGCGGCAGCACTCCAGAGATTCCCGATACCTATCAGCTCATTGGCCCGTTGAGATCATACCTTAGAGAGAGAGTTTAGTGAAGCCTCATGGACGCGGGGATCAGACACTAATACACCTTTGTTAACTCTCTAATGCTGCTCTTAGATGGATTATATATTTTAAGAGCTTTATTTACCTTGTTTATAACTGTAGTGATAAACTTTAAATAGTATAGGTTAGTATTTAATGTGTGTGTGTGAGTTCCTAATCGTGGTGGACAGAAGAAGTAGTTGGTCATTATGTGGGTTTGTTTTGATAGTGAAATGGAGAGAAGTCAACTATGGTGTCGTGGGGTGGTGATGGTGGTGGTGGTAGGGGGTGATGATAGTGGTGGTAGGGGTGATGGTGGTGGTAGGGGTGATGATGGTGGTAGGGGGTGATGATGGTGGTGATGATACCATACTGGGAGGGTAGGGGGGTGGAGGAGGGCTGCGAGTGAACATAAGGGGGTAGGGGATGGAGGGGAGGTGGGCATGAGAGGAGGGGTGGGGAATGGAGGAAGAAGTGGAGTTGAAGTGAACATGAGGGGTGTAGGGGGGGGGGAAGGGGAGAGGGTGTGGAGCATGAGGAGGGGGAATGTTTCTTGGCGAGGAAGGGGGTAGGTTAAGTCAGTCGGGAAAAGGTAGGGAAGGACATTGTCAGTCGTTCAGTCATTCGGAAAAAAAGTCAACATTATCGGTCAGTCGGGGAAAGGTAGGAGATATTAGGGTGAGTATAAGGCAGTCGGGAAAGGTTAAGTGAAAGTCATGTAGTGCTGCTCTAAATGGTGGTGGTGGTGGTGGTCACTACAGCCAAGTCAACAGGTTTATGGTTTTATCCCACCATCAGGGAGGAGGATCTGTAGCTGCTGGTGGTGAGGGGGTGTTGGTGGGAGGGAGAAGGAGGGGGTGTTGATGGTGGAGGTGGTGGGAGGGGTGTTGGAAGTGGAGGAATGAGTGGGAAGGGGCGGTGGTGGAGATGAGGAAGGAGTGGTGGGGGTGTGGGAGAGCGTGGAATGGAGGAGGAAGGGCTTGGTAGGGGAAAGAAGATAGGAAAGAGGAAGCATGGTGGGAAAGGAGATACTGAAAGATAAAGAGGAGGGTAAAGAAAGAGGTGGTGAGGGGGAGAGGAGAGAATGGAAGTTTATGGGAAGGGTATAGGATGGTAGAGAAACAGGAGATAAGGGTGAGGGGAAAGGGGAGGGGGGTGTGAGAGGAGAAATACAAGAAGGCGTTAATGTGTTATGCCAAATGATAGTACCAGTGACCGAGAGGTGGAGCCACTTCCCTGTCCCGCCCACAACTATTGCTATTACACACACACACACACACACACACACACACACACACACACACACACACACACACACACACACACACACACACACACACACACACACACACACACACAGAAATTAAATACATCATTGTCCAGAGTTTAATTCATTTGTGACTAAGGATTTGCCATCATTACTCCAAAGAGAGGGATTGCTCACATCGTACTCAAGGGATTAAACCATCATACTCAAGGGGTTAAACTATCGTACTCAAGGGGTTAAACCATCGTACTCAAGGGGTTAAACCATCGTACTCAAGGGGTTAAACCATCGTACTCAAGGGGTTAAACCATCGTACTCAAGGGGTTAAACCATCGTACTCAAGGGATTAAACCATACATCGTACTCAAGGGTTAAACCATCGTACTCCCAGGGGTTGGCTCACCATCGTACTCAGAGGTTAAACCATCGTACTCAAGGGGTAAATACATCGTACTCAAGGGGTTCATCAGCAACTCAATAAATGGCACCAAAATTCTCAGAGACTCTACCACGTCCACGTACAATCTCAAGTTACAAGAAGGAAGAACAAAAAAATGACGTAGGAATCTTTAAGAATAGGGACAAGCTGAGAGGTCATGAGGGGGGGGGGGGGGGAGGGGGTCCATCAGAGACTTGACCTCCCGACCTCTCACCTGGGCGGAGGGAGGGACACTTGAGGTAAAAAATTGCACAGAAACACTCCCAGTAATGTTTTGAAGATATTTTGATACGGCTCGTGACAGTGAGTATTGGGAGAACACATTTAAACAAACTCCATTATTGACGACCAGGGATTCGGGGTGTTCTCAAAGGTATCGTCTCTCGTAGTGAAGATCTCGAGCCCCCGGGGGATTCTCAGAGCTCCTTGAGTTAAATGTTTCTCTCACAAGTTTAGGAACTACACAATGGTAATCTTAACTACTGGACATTCTCTTAACACTAATTTAGGTAGAGAATTTACACCTGGAGTAATTATTGTGAATCACGACACAGGTACACACTGAGGGGGGGGGGTGAGGTGGGGGGGTTAGGAGGGATGAGGTGGGGGTTAGGGGGGTGAGAGAGGAGGGGTAAGGACCTCCAAGTTGTTGTTTTTTTAGGTGAATTTCTACCCTAACTGAGGAGAGAAAGCATGTAGATACGCGAGAGAAAGTATTTAGCTATTTGAGATAAGCATTTTTTATTTAACTACATACACGAGACGTAAACAGATAGCTTGTGTATTGTAAAAGAATATAACTTTTAATTTGTACGTGTATTAACCAACATGTCGTGGAGTAAATTATCCGCTCCATTTATTATACAAGTTCATCATTGTTGTTTATTCAACGAACATAACTCACAATATGTTCACCTAAATCAGAAATACACTGTAGTTTATAAGTGGACAGACTCGTGAGACTGTTGAAATTCCTTTTATATTAAAAACTTTAACCTAACATTGGCTCATGTATGTGTGAGTTTTTGTGTTTGTGTATATGTGTGTGTTTGTGTATGTATGAGTGTGTATGTGTTTTTGTATATGTACGTGTTTCTGTATGTATGTATGTGTCTTTGTGTGCGTGACGGTGTATGTACGTATACTCAAGAGACTGTGTACGGTATACAAGCCGACAGGGAGAATGTGGGAGTCCAAGAAGTGAGTACCTGTCCACTCGGCTAATTAGCTGACAGGTGAACAGGATGAGGATAACTTAAAGTTGTGTAAGAACAAAAAAGAAAATGGGGAGACCTGTTTACCTGAGCCAATTATAGGAAGATTGTTTGTTTGTTTACCTGAGCAAATAATAGGAAGGTTGTTTGTTTGTTTACATGAGAAAATAGTATGTAAGTTGTCTGTTTTGTTTACCTGAGAATATAATAGGGAAGGATGTTTGTTTGTTTACCTGAGAAAATAATAGGTAGGTTGTTTGTTTACCCGAGCAAACAATGGGGAGGTTGTTTGTTTTGTTTACCTGAGGAAATAAAGGTGACGTCTTTTGTTTACTGTAGAAAATAAAAGTAAGACTAATTGTTTACTCACCGAAAACAACCATAATCTAACGAACAAGACAAATACAAAATGACTTACAACCCAACATAACAGTGAGCAGCTTAACCATGTCCTTAAGTAAACACAAAGACCACACGGTACTATAGCTGAAGAGAAAACAAAGGCAAACAACTAAACAATAGACATAAACAAGAACCAACAGACACGGGAAACAATTAGAAGTTCAGAATACCAATGGCCAGATATGGTCAAGGGGAGGAGGGGTATAATAATTACTAATACAATACTTATTTTCAATCACCTTTACCACCCATGGACTGTGGTTAAGGGATGTGTGAGAGAGAGGGGGAGGGAGAGAGAGAGAGGGGGAGGGAGGGGGGAGGGAGGGAGGGATGGACAGAGAGAGCCAGAGGGAGAGATAGAAAGAGAGAAATGGAGGGATGGAGAGCTAGGTAGAAAGAGAGAGGAAGGGAGACAGAGAGAGAGACGGGGAAAGATAGATAGAAAGCCAGAGGGGTAGAGAGAGGGAGAGACATAGAAAGAGAAGGAGAGAGAAGAGAAACAGAGAAAGGAGGGAGAGAGAGAGATCATCTGATTCTGTGTTTATGTTTCCGTGTGTATGTGTGTGTATGTTGTATATGTGTGTGTATGTTGTATGTGTGTGTATGTTGTATGTGTGTGTATGGCAGTAAGGAGGTAAGGAAGCCATACAAACAGATACCAATGACTGTCTTGTGTGTGTGTGTGTGTGTGTGTGTGTGTGTGTGTGTGTGTATGTTGTATGTGTGTGTATGTTGTATGTGTGTGTATGTTGTATGTGTGTGTATGTTGTATGTGTGTGTATGGCAGTAAGGAGGTAAGGAAGCCATACAAACAGATACCAATGACTGTCTTGTCTCACGTCGCGGAGTGCACCTTTATGGATGACGACTACTGAGGAATCTTCACTATTTGCCATAAAGGAGCCTCAGTGTGTGTGTGTGTGTGTGTGTGTGTGTGTGTGTGTGTGTGTGTGTGTGTGTGTGTGTGTGTGTGTGTGTGTGTGTGTGTGTGTGTTCTTTTAAATAGTCATTACTAATTCAAATACCACACTTAAACAGCATGAATAATTCCACCCCAAAAATGGCACCAAAACTTTCCCAAGACTGTACCTAACCTAACCTAACCTAACCCACCACCGCCACCGTCTTAGAAAATATTAACCCAGGTACAGACAGACACAAGCATGGCGTTCTTGACCAAAATAAGTCAACAGAGAGTATAAAAATGATCAAATGTTACGATACGTCAGTCATGATGGGGGAGGAGAAGGAGGAGAAGGATTTAATAGGATTTAATAGGATTTTAAAATGAATATACATGTTCATAGTTATAGTATTAGTTGTATAAGTTTCTTGAAGGGGTAGTGTGTGTGTGTGTGTGTGTGTGTGTGTGTGTGTGTGTGTGTGTGTGTGTGTGTGTGTGTGTGTGTGTGTGTGTGTGTGTGTGTGTGGAGTGGTGGTGGGATTTGTACATATTTTATTTTGGGATTCTAGCTATACTGGTGGTCAAGGGTGGGTTTTCACATCTTGTACATGGTGTAAAGAAAATTCCATTGGTGTTTGTGTTTATAAAATCCCTTGATGTTATTGTAAGCTCAAACATTAATGGACTCTATAAACATAAACTTTGCGGACTTTGTTTATAAATAAAAGTATAAATGGACTCTGTAAACACAAATATCAAGAGACTGAGTACGGTAACCTATTGAATTATTTATCTTACCTTATGAGTACTATTTCATGACCCCTTGAGTACTATTACTTAATGCCTTGAGTATAATGCTAATACGATGATCAGTTCTCCTGAGTAAATTTATTTTGTACTCTGGAGTTTGAATCACCTTAAGAACTTCCCCCTCCCCCCTGCGAGTGTCTACCTGGAGAATCTCCCCCTTCAGCGCTACCTGGCAGAGGGGGCGAGGGACATTCTTCAGGAGCTCCAGGTATTTAATTAATCCTACTCAAAGGGTTAAATGAGCCACAGAAATAACTTAATATCTACTGTGATAAACTAAAGACCCAGGGCACTCACCTATCGAGGGTGTGGTGAGGGTGAAGTTCATGGTGATGGCTCCTGCTGGGGTGGTGGCAGAAGGTGCAGGAAGATCTTCACGTTCGGTGGTTCCTCAATGCTATTAAATCTTCTTCTTCCTCCTGCTGGTGGTGTCGTCCATACCTTGTTTCCTGGTTGACTTGATTACCACACACTCCTACACCTGTCTCATTGTGCACCACCACACCACCACAACACCACAGTCGCTATACCTGGTGATTTAAATTACTTTGCTTACCCAGGTAACGAAGGACCCGAAATTTTGAAGAGGACTCAACGCTAATCCCGATATTTTAGTGTCTTTCAATGTCTCAAAATATGGCTAAATCAATCAAAAGCCACCAGGTAATTGACTAAGGTGTGTACTTCGTCAGGTGATGGTGTATGTGTGTGTGTGGAATGAGAGGGCTGGGAGGTGAGGCGTGTAGAGAGGGAGGGCGAGCAAGGCGTGTGGTCGCGTCGCTGGCGTGCGGGGATTTGCTGGCGGGTCTCGAAGTCTTCTCCGACCTGCCGCTGACCCCAGTACACCTTGCTAGAAATCTTGGTGGGGAGGAGGAAGGAAGGGAAGGCAGGAGAAGGAGGGGTTGGGGGAAGGAGGACCAGGAGGGAGAATAAGAAGGAGATGGAGGAGGAGGAGGGGGAAGGAGAACCAGAAGGAGAAGAAGGAGTAGGAGAGGAGGAAGAAACGCCTGCCATGCCTCGCCTTCATGTAGGTCGACCGGGGCCAAGCGGTGGGAAAGGAACTGTTTAGAAGGGAAAGGGAGTTGTGATTTAGGTCGTTTGTCTTAACACTGACAATTTGGGCAGGAAAAGTATATAGCCCCCCCTCAGCCCCCTCATCCCAGTCCCCCCTCCATGACCCTTCTCACTCACCCCACAGTCCATCACGAGGGGCTAAGGTCGTGTCACTGTGAGAGAGTTTGGGAGGTCGCGAGGTCATGCATGTGTCACCCTCCTGTATTTACCTGTTGCCTCTTTTAATTAGGATTTTTCTTTCTTCTTATCTTACCTGATGATGAGTCTCGCTGGATTGTCCGAGGTGAATGTAAGTCTTCACGTGGGGAGGGGGGAGGGGGTAGTAGGAGGAAAGGGAGGAAGAGGGGTAATCTAACACCCTTCTCTAATTATAAATTCAAATGAGAAAATCGTGTTTGCCGGTCAATTAAACCTAACCTAACCTAACCTCTCCCTCTCTTACTCTTCAAGAAATTCGAGGAGAGACACTTACCTGGTGGCCAAGAGCGACTTTCACTAGGTAGGAAGGAAGGTGAAATAATACCGGGATATAAATTAAATATTGTACCACGCTGGGGAAAAAATATTGGGTATTTATTTTATTTATATAGAAGAAGACCAAGAAGGAGGAGGAGGAGGAGGAGGAGGAGGAGGAGAAGGAGAAGAAAACCAAGAAGAAGAAGACCAAGAAGAAGAAGAAGAAGATGAAGAAGAAGAAGACCAAGATGAAGAAGGAGGAGGAGCAGAAGAAGAAGACCAAGAAGGAGAAGAAGAAGAAGAAGAAGAAGAAGAAGAAGAAGAAGAAGAAGAAGAAGACCAAGAAGAAGAACAAGAACAAGAAGATGAAGAAGGAGACGATTATTTGGAAGTGAAAACGAATTGTTGATAAATATAAAGCGAACTGTAAGGTGATCAGGTTTATAGGTGAAGGATGGCTTAATTGTATAGATAGACAGGTAAATAGGTAGATAGGTAGATGTATAGATAGATAGATAGATAGGTAAATAGATACAAATAGATAGACAGGTAAATAGATAGATAGATAGACAGGTAAGTTGAAAGTGTTAGACAGACAGACAGTTTTGATACAGGTGAGACAGGTGACGTTGTATTAAAGTTATCTATGTAAGGATGAACGGTGAGGAGCCAGCGGTAGTGAAGGAATATATGAGGAAAGTGTCCCAGTAAAGTGTGTGTGTGTGTGTGTGTGTGTGTGTGTGTGTGTGTGTGTGTGTGTGTGTGTGTGTGTGTGTGTGTGTGTGTGTGTGTGTGTGTGTGTGTGTAGTATTTATTGATGTAATACACATAATTTAACTAATTTCTCACCCATATATTAAAGAAACCAATTTAATCAACAACTAATCCTGGTCATAAACCAATAAACCATTTGAAAAACAGCCTGAGATGTTTTAACAAGTAGGTGTGGAAAAGATAGTTGTAGTTGTGGTTGTTATTGTGAAAGTTTGGGTGGTTCAGCTGCCCAGTAACCCCCCCCACTACACTCCACCATCATCTCCACCTGCCCACTACACTGTTTTCTCCACATTCACCCACCCACCCCTCTCCACCTACATCTTGATCTCAAAAGTAAACAAAGTGAACTCTCTCTAATCTGCTGAGAGGAAATATAGATTTAATTCATTATCGTAGCGTTAACTAAATGTTCCTATGATATTTGTTCATTTGAGGAAGTAACTAAAATTGGTGATCCTGTACATTGAAACACTCTATATGGTTGGTTGACTGGGTGGGGTGAGTGGGTAGGTTGGGTGAGTGAGTGGTAGATTGGTGGATGAGATAATAGTTGGACTCAGTGGTGGATAGATGACTGGATGAGGTGAGTGAGTGGTAGACTGGTGGATGAGATAATATTTGGACTAAGTGGTGGATAGATGACTGGATGAGGTGAGTGAGTGGTTAAGTGACTAACTGACGGAGAAATTGACAGTACTCACCAACAGCTAACGACAACAACTTAATGAGGCAGAGGAGACCAATGTAACACCCCCCCCCCCCTGTACTCTACACTTAAAAGTCCATATTTACACTGTACTCAGGTGCTGTCCAGGTAACACAGCTTGACTATCAACACTTAACAGTATCTAGCATCTACTTGTGAGGTCTATGATAGGGATATACTAATAGTACTACTTGTCATATTATGCCTGAAACACTAAATTAGATAAAACTCTTCGGGTACTTACATGCCAAATACTGTCAAGTGTTCAACATTTTTGACCCCGACTGTACAATAGTTTATCTTCCCAGGTCACAAGGTTGGGAATTCAGTGTCTTGTTGTCTCTGTCTTTCTTCTCTCTATCTCTCTTTCTCTTTATTTTTCCTCTTGGTTTCAACTGCCTTTCTCTCTTCTCTCTCTTATACTCACTCCCTTTATTACTTTCACTGCCTTTCTCTTTCTTTCTCTCTCCCTTTTTCTCCTTTCTCTCTGTCTTTATTTTTCTTCTTTTACTCTCTATGAAAGTGCCAACGGTATATCTATTTCAACAAACAAACTAAAGGTTCATTTGTAGACACGAGACAACTTTGATCAGGACTCATTAACCCTTTGAGTCCTAAAGGGATAAATCATAGTCATCAAAGGGTTAAATCATCATCATCAAAGGGTTAAATCATCGTCAAAGGATTAAACTCAAAACAAGTATGGCTGCGTCAGTTCATCCCAGCTTAGTGCGACCAATTGACTCGTTCACAGAATTTTATATAATTAAATACCCTGTCGAGGAGTGTTTACTTTTACTGTTGCTGCAGGTGTATAATTAATTTGGTTACGTGGAGGTATTGACTTTGTGTGTGTGTGTGTGTGTGTGTGTGTGTGTGTGTGTGTGTGTGTGTGTGTGTGTGTGTGTGTGTGTGTGTGTGTGTGTGTGTGTGTGTGTGTGGTGTGTGTGTGTGTGTGTGTGTGTGTGTGTGTGTGTGTTTAGTTTGAATATATTCTTTGGTTAATGTTAAGTTTAATTTAAAGTTGGTTTAAGACATAATCTCTTTAAGGACGATGGTTTAAGTTATAATCCACTAAAACCCGTAAAATTAAACCATAATCCTGGAGGTTTAAACCATCGTCCTCAAAAGGCTTATCTACAGATTTAAACAAGACTGATCTACACCGTGTGTGTGTGTCTCTCCACGACCTGGTCAGTGTTTCACCCCGGAAGGTTGTCTCAGGTGATGGGACATAAGTCTCTTCACCCACAACATGTATCTCGAGAAAATAACTTATACCTGTATATACTGTACCACTATGTATATACTCTACCACCCTGTATATACTCTACCACCCTGTATATACTCTACCACCCTGTATATACTCTACACCTGTATATACACCTGGCTCTCTCAGCGACCCTTGTGTTTGTATATTAAGAAGAACTCATTAATGTTTGTGTGCTGTAGCTTCCATTAGTGCCCTTATTTACCTAGTGGCTATACTCCAGCTTAGGGTAGGTTAAGTGTCCATGCTGAGGGAAGGAGGGCAGTGACATGGGAAGGAGGGCAGTGACATGGGAAGGAGGGCAGTGGCATGGGATTGAGGGCAGTGACATGGGATTGAGGGCAGAGATTGTTAGTCATTTCTAGGGCTATTTTCACTTCCATAACTAGTTAGGAATGGAATTTTGTAAGCTGATGGTGACTAATGGTGAGATAACGAAGATGCATTGATACCGCCATACACCAGTTCCTGATTCACTAGACCGGGTGTAGTGAAGATGTAAATGGCCACGAGAGAGACCATAACCACGTCTTCTGGTCATGTCGGCCTGGAGGACTTGTTGACTGGGCAGGTTTAGGTGAGGATAGTACAGTAACTGGCCGTCATCTCTGAGGTGGGGAGGCATCCGTGAAATTGGTCTCTCTTGGTTTGTCCATCCGTAAGAGGAGGAGGAGGTAGGAGGAGGAAGGGGAAGAGGAAAGGTGAGGTGGATGATAGGGGAGGAGGTAGGTCAGGGAGGTGAGGGTGTGTATGTGGAACGTAAGACAGATGATTAGTGGGAGGAGGATGTCAGTCAAGTGATAATGGTTCTCTAGGTTCAATTATATGCTGTCCTGATGTGTGGGGTAGTGAGAGAAAGGGGGGGAGGGGAGGTGATGTGTGGGGTAGTGAGAGAAAGGGGGAGGGGGAGGTGGTGGTGGGGGTAGTGAGAGAAAGGAGGGAAGGGAAGGGGTAAGGATGGTCTTGTCAATAAAAAATCCTTATACCATAAAGTGTCTCTTGTGGCTTCACCTTCATGGCCATCTGCTGCCCTTTACCTTAGTCTTCCCTACCTACACAACGAGACCTTTACCTCATCTCTCACTCACCGCCGACCACACAAGGGGGAGAGATAAACAGGTTTGCTCTTAACGTCGTCAGGGAGTAAGGTAAATATAACCCGGGACAGGGCGGGTAATTTTCTGGTTGCTGTGGCGGTCGTGCGGATACGCCATTGTGGAGAATTATGACTCGCGCTGACCACTAGAGGGCGGTCAGGTGCTGTCAGTGTGGGTGTATGTCAGGTGCTGTCAGTGTGGGTGTGTCAGGTACTGCGGTGGGTGTTTCGGTCAGTGTGGGTGTATGTTAGTTGGTGTCAGTGTGGGTGTGTCAGGTGCTGTTAGTGTGGGTGTATGTCAGGTGCTGTCAGTGTGGGTGTGTCAGGTACTGTCAGTGTGGGTGTATGTCAGTTGGTGTCAGTGTGGGTGTATGTAAGACTGTCAGACTATCAACCATACCGAGACAATAG